GTATGTGCGTACTATATGAATCATTCCATTAAATTTCTATCTTTAAAGATTGCGTCAGTCATGAATCCCTTGGCATGAAAGACGAACGAATCATTCCCAATGGTAACTTTGGAGCCTCATCCTATGCAAACTCACCTTGTTTACCACATTTTGCACGTCTTGATTCGAAGGGTTGGTGTGCTGCACGTAGGCAAACGGGAGAATCAGTATGGGTGGACTTGAACGCAGTCAAAACTACAACCAAGATATCCATGCGTGGCCGAGATGGTAATGATCAAAGGCCAACTCAGTTTACCTTAGCGTATCGTACAACCTCTTTGGACCAGTGGGCAGGGTATTTTGGAGGACCCCAAGAAACGTCATCATGTTCAGGACCGATGGTATGAAGAAGAATCGATTKATAACTATTAAAGCAGGGAATGTGTCATGGAAGTGGGGGGAGGGGGCGTGATATACCAGGTTCTACTGAGCAATCATGCAGTCTCACACAAAAAGATCAAATCATGAAACGATTTCTAAACCGACCGATAACGATAGATTCAAACCTAATTGCATATTTGCATAAAGGTTCAACCGTCATGACCGTCTTTCTCCAAACGCCTGACATGGATTGACGCAAGCACCCCTTTRTGCTATTTTTAAAATTGCTCATTATATATTCATCGCGAATATCCAATCAGGAAACGACTCCTAAAATATGTATGCACCGTTTTATCTTACAGACATTTTTCCATAACGTGACATCTCGCTATGCAATAGTGACGTCAAATCTTCCTTCGCCAATCATCGCTCGCTTCGTCAAAGTYATAGTGATTAAGTGGTATGACAACCCGTCGCTGCGATTCGACCTGCTTGGTTGCTAAGGARGCGAAAGAAAATCATTGTTTTGTACCATCACCGTATATTGTGAATGCATATAGCATAGCATCCTTTGCTTTATCGCCAAACAAAAGAGTGTTCTGTTTTTATATACACCACATCTGATTACAATCTGATTTCAATTGCCACGTATGACATGATAAGCTATGGTCTTCATTTGTGTACAACTCTAGTGCTGCAGTGGTTACAATTAATATTAACTTGAATTAATCAAGGCTTATAACTTTTTTGCATTACAGTTCATGCATATAATAAATAATCACTTCACATGAACCGTGCGTGACGTCGTCATTCGATTTACACGATTCATTTAAGTTTGGAAGAATGGCGTGTAAGCCACACAAATTCCCAAATTCCACACAAGAATTATTTATACAAGCTCACCATCTTAATACACTGAACACAGAAATCCTCACAGGGGAGGGGAGGAGGGGTTAGGAATGTAGGAAAGGCTTTTCGTTGTTCCAATCTCTCGGCACCAGTTTGTCTCCGTCATGCAGGATAAATGAACGCAGGAAGACCAAGGAGAAAAAATTGTTTACTTAAAGAGCAGCCTGCGAAGGAGCCTAGCTAGTCAAACGATAAATTCGACGTTTCAACTTCAGTACTCAGTACTGGTTTTCAAAAGTCTAGCTTCTATTGTAATAATTGTCATCGTTTCTCAGCGATCATAGGTGTAAGCATAGCTCTATCAATAATGTATGGCCATGATGACTGGTCGCCGACAAATATAGAGGTTGTGTGCCTAGCCAGCGCAGTTTGAATGCAGCTCGAGGTTTTATCATGATCCTCAATATTCTATTTTCATGGATATGGATTTTGGTCATCGATAACGTTAAAGGTAAGGAGGAGGGGCATGTTGGTTTTCGGATCGTAATTGAATTTTTTTCGGATTTGAGTAATTTTTTTTTCGTGATTTTTGGATTCAACACCTTCTTCGACTGGCGTCTGAAAAATGGTTGATCCAGAATTTGACGATTTTTTGTTATCAAACACTACAATTGTAGCTTTCCAGTTCTTTTACATTTGGACTGGCCTCATTTTGACTTTACATGCATATACTGTAATTCCGATACTAATCGAAGCAATATAAAAGACGTTTTAAAAAGTTTGATAATCTTGAAAGTTAAGAGCGACTGTCCAGAAAAATCGAGCAAAATCGAAAATATCCGGCCACAATGAAAATTTTAAATTCCTTGAAACTCAGATCCTGGACACCTTTCTGTGAGCCTACTAACGTGGTCTAATC